GTATCAGATACTTGAATCAGTCGCTATGTACCAGTTCATGCATTGAGAATTAAAATTGTAATACAGATGAAATCCTTTCGACCGTATGAAAAGACAAAACAATTCAACTTTTGCTTTGAATCCCCTCCTCATGGAATGAGCAACAGAAACCTGCTAAAGATCGTCTACATATTAAACTGCGGAAACTGTCTGGGCTGAGCTAGGAATCTGACAACTATAATTAATTCAGAACTCAATTCACATAACACGTAAAAATCTATATTTCTCATCAAATCAATAGACAAAGCTACTTGGTATTTGGTAAAGGCAAAAGCAAAATGAACTAATGGAGATCATACGGCTTTTTCATCCTCATCCAGGAAGTTATATATGTCCTGTTGTTTGACTGCCGCTCTATTCTTCCGGGATGATGTGAAAGTTTGTGGAGTCCATCCTGAAAATTTAATAACCGACGCTAAATATTTGCAGTGTACTTTACACAACAAAGTAGGTAGGTAATTCGAATGAAAGCAACAGACAAGCACCTTCTTTGGAGCCAACTGTATTGTAGTAACCGGCAGAGAAGCCACCAGTAAATGCTCCATGAAACCTCCTCCGCCCTTCTTCATCGGTAACCTGGAACAAGACCATCATATCAAAGACAAAACATGAGCTAGTTCTCACTATGTGTCATTGCCATTGGAGTAAACAAGAAATAGAAAAGGAAAGATGCTCTTTTGGTGTAAACAAGTGTTATCAATGGCAGAAATGGAGGCAGGCTAAAATCCCGCCGGCTTAGCACTGTCATAACTGCCATTCTTCAGAAATATGAAATGAAATTCTGACATTTTAATACATAGTACGTACTATATAGCGGCAAAGCTCAATTTTAATTTGTACCCAAAAGTTCTTAACTATTAAAATAATCAAAGTTATTCTATAATCCCAAAGAAAAAAAAAAGGAAATTAATCACACTAGTATGGGTTAATTTACAAGAAAACCTTGAACTCAACTGTCTCCAAACTTCTGTTAACTTCACTACATTATTTAATTAACACCGTGAGAACAACAATCAGGAAGGCTAGCATTGCGATGGTAAGTCATGGACAGTTCCCGAGTTAAAAAAAAGGATGAAGAGAGAGAGAAAAGGAAGGGGGGGGGGNGGGGGGGGGGTGTAGAAAGCAAACTACGATTTCTATCCACAACCACTGGAGATAAAAATCTACTAACTTCAAAACTATGGACACCATCAAATCAAACAAACAAAACCTAACCCAATTTTGTAGTTCACCAAGAAAATATAAAGCAGAAACACATATGAACTACTCAATTGACAAAACAAAGGCAGAAACCTATGAAAATAAGCTGTATTAAGTAGCGTATCGTTATCACCTCTTGTTTCCAAGTTGGCAGCGTGGTTCTGAGCTGACCAGTGGCCCCTGCTATCGCCTTTTTCTTCCGAGTTGTGACTTCTTCTTCTCGTTCAATTGGCGTTCCATAGAACACGAAATCTTCGTCGTCACTCGCCATCTTTTCTCTTTCTCTTCAATTCATTGAAGAAGCCTGGGTTGACAAGGCAACAATATCAACCACAATGCCGGGCTCGTACAATAGGCCTGATAGCTGATGCAACATTCAAAGAGTTGACACGAATTGTATGAGTAATTTGTTATCACAAAAAGAAAATACATAAAATGAAATCTGAAATTTTACATATTATCAGCAAAATCTTGGAGGTACATGTATAATTCTTTAAAATTAATTATCCTGTAAACATAAATAAAAGGCCAGAGGCCAAAACCTCTCAATTTATACAAATTACACCCAAAAACAAATCTCTCGCATATTTCACAAATTAAAAGAACAATCAATCCTCAGCCGGAGGACATCAAATTTGCTGATGAAAAACAATTAATAAGAGCCTCTCTAACCCTTAAACTACTACAGTTGTAGCTGTATACCACTACAGCAAAATAAACATTTCCCAATAAGTTTCGAATTTAGCCATTTGAGCAATTGGTGTTAGACGAATAAGAAACATAAATTTACCTCTTGGGGGCTTCGATCCTGACACCAAATTTTTCTTTCTGCCGGCGGGTAGCGTCTATCGGCCGGAAATTGACCGTTGTCTGAGCGCCGGACTCTGTTTTCGTCCACTTATCCTGTCGTGCTGATTTTCTCACCCTTTTTCGCTCAGAGAACCGATTGGGTTCTTCCACTAACTCAAGTCCGTTATTTGGGCCTTTCACAAAGGCTAATTTATTTTGGCCCAACCATTTTGGGTTGGTGCCTTGGGAAGCAACCTCATAGACGAGGAAATTACCGCACCAACGATCCCACAGCTTTTTGACTTTTACACTTTCACGGGTCAATCAAAACTTTTAGTAAATGTATCAAATCTTATCTTATAATTTTATTTGCAAACATACTAGACATGCTATTAAGCAACATAAATAATATATTATTAGTAGGNGATCTCACTTTTCACACTTAATTACTCCACAACCGACCCACGTCCGAACTGCCCACTCTGTCAATTCAACTTCTCCCTCAGTAAACCTTAGGATCAATTTCTATGACAGAAACTAAAATCTCGCCCATTTCAGGTGAAACCCCCAGTCGCGGCATCGGTGTAGATGCATACAGGTGGTCGACTTCTTGTATCAGAAATATATAAGCCAGAGACAAATGTAACTCATTCACAAAAAAACTAAATTTCAAAAGAAACATGAAGCCAAGTGGATCTCGAAAAAAACGCTCGACAAATCTCACCATGATACGCATAGTTCCAATCCGACTCTCGGCAAAGCTCTGTCGCATAGTTAATCGCATATGAAAGATTTATTTTTGGTAAAATGTTCAAAAATAATATATTGAAAATATAATCTTGAAAGCTAAAGGAAATTAAAAGGGAAGACTTCATTTATTTATTATTATATATATGTATCGGCTTTTATGTATTATGCATATTGGGAAAATTGTGTAATGATCTTATTTCTGGTTATATGGTGTAGGGATTGGACGTATGCATGGCGATGCAAGGCGATAGGTTTGGAAACAAGAAGAAAGAAGAGAGAGGAAGAATATTTTGTTACCATATGTTTGAACCACAAGCTTTGGAAGGAAATCACAAAAAGAAGGAAATAGCTTGAGGTAGACTTCACGATCAAGTCTATATATACCCATCTTGAAGATCAATTGAAGGTTGTTGAGAGTTTTATAATCTGCATATCATTCGAGCATTCAATTGAGAGTTCAAGAATTTTTGTTCTTAGATTTACTTTTGTTATTCAATTCTTTGGTGTTCTTACGCCATTGACGAACTGAGTTTGTTTGACTTGGTTTTTCGTACTTATTTGTTCAGATACCTTATCATAGTACTTAGGAATTAAGTGCTAGTTTGCTCGAGAGATTCGAGTGTGTACGTAAAGCCCACGGGACGTGGCCAGAGAAGTAGTTGGTAGGATCGAGTATAGTGTGGGCTAGGTTAGAAGGGAGTTCTAGTTGCATAAGTCCAAACTATACATGTGTGCACAATCCATCTATTAGTGAAAGATCTCTGAGGGGTAATGGGAAGCTCCCCGAAAAGTTTTTTATCTCTTGTTCTGTGCTTCCGCAATTATTCTTATTTAGGTGTTACAACACAGTATTACTATTTACAACATGTTCTAACACATTTTAGACTTCCACTCGTAGTTTATATCCATGTTTCAGCATAAATATTTCGTACTTTATCAATTATCTCGTCTGTATGTCGCATAGTTAATCGCATAATTTGTTTTGCGCTTTGTGGGGTGATAAAGTTAATTTATTATTTAGCGGTGTGAAAAAATTAGCTCATCTTCAAAATAGGTGAAAACCCCCTATATATAATTATCAATATGCTGAGCCTAAGTGGCAGATTCGCACGCTTCGGAACCCGACTTGGCGAAAAAACATGCTTTGTAATTTGGTTTTGATAAAAGAATAATAATATTCTAAATCAATAATTTTAGGTTCGAACATTCCATACATATTAAAAAGCTAACTTGGATAATTCCATAATAATTTGACTAATATAACCTTGGTATTGGTTTGGAACATTTACTTAGTGCTATTAATTGATTATTTTATCCTTTAAGCTGTTTTGGAATCTCTCAGCTCATTAAAAAACCTCCCATATGATTATCTAATTTCCATATAACTAGCACATTTGTAATAAGCAAAGCCTATATTGACTCTGCGAATTCTTTGCTCAGTTGTGCTACCCTTTGTTGTCGTTGTGTATTGGACGCTTGTTTCTAAAGACTTCTCTTGGAAGAAAAATAAATTTACTATTCGTTTGTGGACCATTGGAATTTAACTATTTGTAATATGTGAGCTGTGTATTTATATATGCTTATGGATTTCATTTTTTAGCAGTTTGATCCACATGGATTAATACTTTTTTCCTTATATAGTTTGATGGAGTTTATTTGTGGGAAAAATTGCATTTTTGGTCCTGCTGCTTTGGCCACGTGGCACTTTTTGTCCTGGGATCGGAGCAATTTTCTATTTAGTCCTGTAACTTCGAAAGTCAACGCAATTTTAGTCCTTTCGGCGACCAAAAGTCAACATTGCGGTCGAATTTGTCACGTGGCCCGCACGTGACGCCCTCGTGGCCGATCTCCTCTGACTTGGCTAGCCGGGACGCGGACGTGGCAACCAAATGAATTAAAAAAAACAAAAAAAAAAAAAAACAAAAATCCACGCGGGCGGGAAAATAAGTTAAAAAAAAAACACGTAATCAATTATTAATGGAAGAAAAAAACTTTGGGCAGATGAAACGTTATTTCATACGATCAAAACCCTAATTTTCATTCAATCGGGTTTTTCCAGAATAGAAATAGCAGGAGAAGAGAGAAATTCGAATAAAGGTCGTTCTTGAGAGAAGATTCCAGAGAGAAATTCGATTTCAGAGACAACGATGAGATAAAGGCCGATTGAGTGAGAAGGAGATAAAGGCCGATTGAGTGAGAAGGTTGATTGAACGAACGCGAAGATGGTGAAGTCCATACGGATTAGGTCAAAGGAATATTGGGACGCAGACATCCTTGAATACGGTGAGTTCAATGCAATTTTGACTTTTCATTGATACCCCTATTTGTTTGTTTTGTTTTTGTATTTGGGTTGTATTTTTCTTTTTGTTTTGATATTGACAAACTCTATGTGTTTGTTTCTTTGTCTTATTTCTTTGTTTGTTTGTTTTTTTGGTTCTGTTCTCCATAGATCGTAGTGGTGAGTTGCTTACAGTAACTATGTGGTGTGGTGGAACATTTCAAACAGAAGGTTTTGTGTGTTATCAAGGAGGGTCTAAAATGACATTTGATTTTGTCCATATGGGGTCCTTGAATAATTCCACATTGAAGAAAATGTATGATAAATTTGGTTTTGTTGGTAGTAGAAAGTACTTCTTATTGATTGGTTTGGGTTTTAAGCCACTGCTTGATGATGAAGACATTAAAATAAGGGCTTGATGTCATAAATATGGTTGTAGATAAATGACTTTGTATGTTGAAAATGAAGGTACATTCAGTCCTTCTAGTTTGTCCATGGATGGGGGATGAATTAATTTTGACTCTGATTCTGAGAATGGGAGTGAGTCTAAGAGTGGGAGTGAGTCTGAGGGTGGCTCTGAGAGTGTTTCTGAGTGTGGTTCTGAGAGTGGTTCTGAGAGTGGTGCCGAGAGTGAAAATGAGAGTGAAAAAAATGATAAGGAGAGTGAGAAGGTTAGTGGTGCTGAGAGTAAAAATTAGAGTGAAAAAAATGATAAGGAGAGTGGGAAGGTTGGTGGTGCTAAGAGTGAAAATGAGAGTGAAAAAAAATGAAAATGAGAGTGAGAAGATTAGTATGTGCTGAGAGTGAAAAAAGTAAAAATAAGAGTGGGAAGGGCAATGGTTCTGAGGGTGGGAAGGGTGGTGATTGTGAGAATGAAAATATTGAACATGAGAGTGGGAATTTTGTTGGTGAGAATGTGGAAGAAACTGAAAATGAACAGAGTGAACTAGAGAGGCAAGAAGATGAGGATGATTTTCTTGATAGTGATTATGATTTCAGAAATAGTAGTAGTGATGATGATGATGCATTGTTTAGTGAGAATGTGGATGCAGGGGCTAGTGGGGGGGAAGATGGTGATTCTAGTACTGATAGTGATGATGGTGTGGTTGAGGTTCCTGATGATTTAGATGAACTGAGGGGTAGTGATGATGAAGATGTGGATCCTCCCGTGTTTAATTCTAACCAAGTGTGGGATCATGTGTCTGATATTGGGATGGTGTTTGCAACTAAAGAAGAATTTAGAAAAGTCATCTAATCACATTCAATTAAAACCAATAGAAACCTTAAGATAGAAAAAAATGATAAGATAAGGGTGTATGTGAGATGTGCAGATGAAGAGTGTAATTGGAAGATAAATCTATTCAAAATGAAGGATCAAGCCAGTTTCCAAATTAGAGAATACAACCCCATTCACTCTTGCTCTGAAACTTTTGAGGTTAAAAACATCAAATCAAAGTGGCTACGTGAAAAATTCTTAAGCCATTTTCAAACTGATCCTAAAAGAAGTTTTAAAGGCTGGAGGCTTGATATTATTAACAACCTTAATGTTAATATATCAAAGGATCAGGCCTATAGGGCTAAGAGAAGAGCCCTGGCACAACTTGAAGGAGAGCCTAATGATCAGTATTCCCAATTGTGGGATTATGCAGAGGAGTTGAGAACTTCAAACCCTGTGTCAACTGTTGTACTTACCACTGAGAAGTCTGATGGTGATGAGAGATTCAACAAATTCTATGTTTGTTTTAATGCTCTTAGAGAGGGGTTCAAGAATGGGTGTAGGCCAATTATAGGTGTAGATGGCTATCATTTAAAGGGTCCACATAGGGGGATACTCTTGACTGCAGTAGGTGTAGACCGAAACAACACATTGTTTCCCATTGCCTTTGTTGTAGTAGGGATTGAGTGTTTTGAAACATGGGAGTGGTTTCTCATAATTCTGAAGAAAGATTTAGGCATTTCTAGGGATACCTTCATTTCTGATAAGCATAAGGGGTTTATCAAAGCCTTTGATGTTGTCTTCCCTGGGGCTATTCACAGGTTCTGTGTGAGGCACTTTCACAACAATTTTTTGAAGGTTGGGTTTAGGGGTTTGGCCTATAAGTATGCTGTGTGGAGAGCAGCACAAGCAACCATTGTTGGTGAGTTTAATACAAGAATGCTTGAAATTAAAAAGATGAGTACTGATGCTTTTGATTGGTTTCTTGATAAACCACCATAGCAATGGTCAAGAGCTTTTTTTTTTCTGAACTGCCAAAGTGTGACATGTTGCTCAATAATGTCTGTGAAACATTTAACCTCAACATTCTTGAAGCAAGGGAAAAGCCTATTATCACTATGCTTGAGTGGATTAGAGAGTACATATGCATGAAGATGCAACAGAGTTGAAGTGGAAGAACAAAATTGCCCTAACATAAACTTGATCCTTCAGAAACACTTGTCACATGTATCTGACTGCATGCCAATTAAATGTGATGATAAGAACTATCAGATTAATTGTTATGATGGATCACAGTTTACTGTTGATTTGGAGAAGAAAATTTGCAGCTGTAGGGTATGGAATTTGGGGGGCATTCCTTGTAAGCATGCATGTAGTGCCATAATAGCTCAGAAGCTGGTGTCTGTTGACTTTGTAGATGGTTGTTATTCACAAGAATGTTATAGGAATGTGTATAGGGGGTCAATACTAGGCACAAATGGTCCTTCATTGTGGAGACAAACCCTTTTTATTCCTCATTTACCTCCCAACTTTGGGAGGGGTGCTGGCAGGCCTTCAAAGGCAAGAATAGGAGATCAAGAAGAGCCTAAAAAGAAAGGGAAAAAGAGGAGAGGGAAACAACCAATGAAAATGAAGAGGCAACAGCCAACTGTGAAGTGCAAAAAGTGTGGCATGGCTGGCCACTATGCAAGGTCTTGTGAGAAAAGAAAGGAGAAAGAAATGAACACTCTAAGCCAAAACCAAAGTCAAGTAACTCAAGAAGTGGACAACTCTCCATTGAAAAGGGCTTTTGATACAATTGTAAGTTTTCTATTAAATGTTATAAGTTATGTTTTTTAATTTTTTATTCTATGTTTATGTGACTTCACTTTATTCTATGTTTATTCTATCTATAGCTTGAAAGGAAAAGAGCAAGAGCTGCTGCTGATAGAGGTAAAAGGAAAAGGGCAAAGAAGGCCACAGTTGAGACAGAACAATCCTCACAAGTAAGTGTTTATTACACTCATTAAATTATCCATTTGTGTATAACAAATTCACTTCTGAAACCAATTGTTTCTAACCATATTTCTTTTCTTTAACTTTAATTCAATCATTTTTCAGAATCCTACACTTTTGCCACCAGTGATAAGCCATGAAGAAGAAGATGAGGAGTTGCACTCATTGTGTGAACTCATTGATGAGTATGAAATCCCTAAAGTTGCCAATCAGCCCGGGTCTACCCCTTACCAACAGCTGCAGAGTTCAATGCAATCAAGAGATGAAAACTAAAAGTGTTTGTATTTGTTGGAAATTGTTGATGTTCATTGAAACTGTTGAAACTGTGGTGTGCTTTGATGGTTTTTGATGGTTTAGGATGCTTTTGGATGGTAATTCAAATTGTGTTGTTTTTGGATGGTTTTGTATAGTTTTGGATGATGGTTTTTGGATGGTTTTTGCCTTTGGATGTGTAATGGTGAAATTTGGATTTTGGATTATGGCAGTGAAACAGGTTTATGGATGTTTTGTAATTGAAATTAATGTGTTCATTCAAGTTAATGCATGTTAATGGATGGTTTTTATGTTATGAAATTATCAGTGGTTTTTGTATGAATTTTCATGTACCATTAACATTCAATTTGTTCAACAGCCATGAACAAAGCAAAAAGTGAATTCAATCACCCTTAACATTCAATAGTAACTGTCAGCCATAAACATCATGCCAACATTCAACAACAAAGCAACAACCATTTCAATAACACACAACATACAATACAATAACACATAACATACTTTCATTACAACAAAAGTGAATTCAAACAAAATAGTTCAACAATTATTCAAAAACAATCACAACTCCCATTAGCAAATAACAAACAAGAAGTTCAAACATAACAAAGCTAGTCCAACACTACCATTTTCTACTTCATAGACTCGGTCAGATCAATTGTTCTTTAAGAACATGTACAGAAACAGAGTCACAACCCCCATGAGCAATCAAAATTTGGCCTTTTTAGCGGACTTCAACTCCTTTTGCCAATCTGAGATCTCTAACTCCAGCTTCTTCTTGCATTCAACCAATCTAATATTTTCCTCTCGCAATTCTTCAATCTCAGCATGCAACTCATTTGATTTTGCAACAACCTAGGAATCATTTTCGCGGACTTCAACTCCCTTTGCCAATCCGACATCTCTAACTCCAGCTTCTTGCATTCAACCAATCTAATGTTTTCCTCTCGCAATTCTTCATTCTCAGCACGCAAAACATTTGATTTTCGCAACAATCCAGGAATAATTTCCGTGGACCTTCTACACATAGGAGGATCAACCCAAGAGAAAAAATCACACTCTGGGTTTCCTTCTCCCTACATACAAAGAAAAATAGGAACAATTTTGCCCAAAAAAAATGAACTAGAAAAGAACTGGAAAACAATATCCACTTACCTCGTACTCAATGCAAGAACGAAATCGGCGGCCGGGATTTTCAGATGTCCAAGAGGTTCGAATGACTGACCTTTCACCGCAATAGCAGTACCTATGATCCCTGTCATATGAGTTCGACGACATTTCTGTGCGAAATTTGTAAATCTGGGGATTTAGGGTTCTTGGTTTGGGTTTGGGAATTTTGGGTTCTTGGGGGACGATAAATTTGGGGAATTTGGGGCTAAGTGTGTGTGAGAATCGNGCGGGCCACGTGACAAATCCGACCGCAATGTTGATTTTTGGTCGCTGGAAGGACTAAAATTGAGTTGATTTTCGAAGTTACAGGACTAAATAAGAAATTGCTCCGATCCCAAGACTAAAAATGCCACGAGGCCAAAGCAGCAGGACCAAAAATGCAATTTTGCCTTTATTTGTGGTTTGAACACAGTGGCGTATCTACATTAAGACCAGTGTGGGACTAGGCCCACACTGGAAAGAAAAAATTTCTATGGCCTAGAACTGAAAATATAACTTAATAGCCCATTACTAAAACAAAAAATGAAAATTAAGGACAATTTTTACATAAGCACCAACAACTAAAAATTAAAAAATAAAAAATAAAATAAAAAAGGGACATAATGGAAAAAAGAGATAATTGTTCTTATTAATTTTGGTGAAAGTAAATTTAACCTTTTTATCATTGTTCTTAATTATCTAAAAAAATAATATCATTTATTATAATTTGTGTGTGGTTAATAACTTAAATTGTAGGCTCTTAAAAGTTTGATATATTAGGAAAGCATTTTATACATTATAATTTGTATTTTACATCAATTGAGAAATATTTTTGAAAAATGCTTTGAAAAAAAGCACTTGTGAAAATATTTTAAAATGAGATACTTTCATTCCAAATATACTTGAGGTGAATTCTAAAATAGTTGATTCAAAAGAAATGAGATGAAAAAACTCAACGATGTTATTATAGAGCAATATTGAGCTATGAAAACTCATAAATTTATTATAAATTTATGGTTTTATATTTATGATTTTTATGATAGTATAATATATTTTTTGTAATATCAATTAGGCCCTCACTCATTCTATCAGCTAGATCCGCCCCTGTTTGAACATATTGAGTTTTGATTAAGAATGACACCCCGAAATATGAACACAACACGACACGATTACGATAGACACAATATGAAAGACATATAATAAAAAAAAATAGTTAAATTTGGACTTATTGTCAAACAAAATAGGTAGCAACGAATACACGATAGGGAAACATAAACACAACACGATAACACGATTTGTCAGCATAAATTTTGATATGGGACATGACATACACGAGACAAATAATTGAATTTCCTATAACAAATTACTACTACTAATAATAAGCGTTCAACTTCTATTATTCAACATATTATCTTGCAAATTAATTGTGAACCAAAAAAGAATTCCTAAAAAAACAAACAAAATATGATGGAGAGAATGTATGTCATTTCAAAGGTTTTGCATTAGATTTATTTATCCTCTGCTGCTCAAATGAAATACACAGACAAGATATTTTGGTGGTTTATTAGCTATTTTATATATCTTAATCATTGTATTATCAGAATTTTACCACACTGGATGAAAATTGGTGCCAATAAAACTAATTAGGTAAATTTGAGCTTAAGTACAATCGAGAGCATTCACGTACGGTGAAGTTATGCAATAGCTCGAAGAACCCAAAGGATTGGGTGTCTTATGCTCCAAGATGGTTAGATGATGAATATTGGCAGCAAATCATCGATAAACATTGGGATAACGAGAAATATGAGATAAAGTGCAAGATTGCAAAAAAAATAGGGAGACTAAGAAAGGAAATTCTATGGTGAAACACACAGGTGGTTCGATACCTTTTGTTGCTCACAGAAAACAAATAGTACACCAAACTTATTAATATTCTAGTATTTTCTTAACTGTACTAAAAATTTCTATACGTTATTTACAAATCAGTTACATGTTTCAACATGTTTCAGGAGATGAAGAAAAAAATACAAAGTCACGCAATCGGAATTATTTGCCCGAACACATAAGTGCAACAAGGGAGTCGGTGATTACGTTGACGATAGGTAGAAAGATGTTAATGTAAGTAATATTCCAATGGTTTTTCTTTTTTCGTTGTTTGTTGCCTGAGCTGAGTATTTTACCACAAATTATGATTATTTTAATAAAGTTTAATTAGTTATTTGCAAATGATACTTGTCCAGGAAAAATACAAAGTCGCCCTTGAAGCAACGTGTGGTCTTGATATGTTAGATGAACCGATTTTTTATGCTGATGCATGGGCAGAAGTGACGAATGGTCCACACATGGGTTGTGTATATGGATTTACACCGGCTGAAAGGGCTTCACTCATTCTTGGTTCATTAGTTTCAGAAAATGACGACAACAATGAAGATGTGAATGAGAAACTCAAAGCGATGCAAGAAATTATTGATGAGCTGACGAAGAGTAGAGTCGAAGTAGAAAAAGAGATTCGCCAAGAGTTAGTGGAAACGATGGCTAATGAAATTACGGAGATGAAGCGGCAATCCAAGGAGGAATTAAATGAAATTAAACTGGAAATGAAACGTCAATCAAAAAGGCATCATAAAGAACTGGGTTAAATGATCCGCAACATGCTTGGAGGACTTAACCTTCCTAACTCGAAGTATCCTTCGGGTTCGGGGACCAAATAGTGTTTCTCGATTGCACTTTTTCTTAAATCATATTTTTGCATCAAAAAACTGTCGGCTAGTTAGTCTTTTCGGCTTTAGTTTGGTACCTATATTTCTTATTTGAATAATTTAGTTTTTCTACGTCTTTTTAAAGATATTATTTCATTTGCAATTTTTCTCTAGGAATATTTAGTTTTCCTAGATCTTTGTTTAAGTGACTCAAGCCAAAAGAATGAAATTGTATTTTTCGTATCAGTAATGCTTTCATTTGGTCATTGTTTTATGAAGAAAGCAATATAGTTTCTCGGTGATTCGATTAACCTGCATGATATTGTGTTCATATTTTTCTTTTCGAATCACATGAGTTGCGGTTTTGATATTATTAGGCAATCCTTTTCGCGTGGACGTATGTTATAAGTGAGGGTTTGTCATAAGCCTTGGTCTACCGGTTGTTTCTAATATTTCCGGTCATGAACGCACTCTTGTCATAATATGCAAAGAGAGTCCACCTTCAGTACAAAAGGGTTCGTCGGTACTGCAAGCAAGGATTTATATTTATCTGAATTCACTGGTTTAGGTTGTATGAGCGTAATGCTTTGCCTGTTATGTTAGTGCAATTAGGTGTCTGAAGTATTTTCATTCGCTTCTGCGTGTTTCTATGTTTTTTAGCAGTGCCTTACGTATGTAAATGGAAATCAAACTTTTGGCATCATATAAACTGAAAATTCTAATAGCGGCAGAGGTACTTAATTAGGGTGATTTTTTTATTGCTTTAGTATCAACCGAGATACCTGAGGGCTCGACTTGTTAAGACTCAAGTTCAAAATGAGCGAACTCGAACTTGCTTAGTTAACAATTCGAGCTAGGCTTATTGGGCTCGTAAATAGTTGTTACGTAATTTTCGGAACTATTACCTTAGCTACGGTCGTTACGACTAATATTCAATCCATTTATTTTGACAAACTGGCACGTTTATCAACTTGATTAGAGCTTGCTTCAGCTTGTTTACAATTCTAGTCTTACCCAACAATGTATATGTCACTTGTTCCAAAAAACTATAATCTTTTACAGTCTTTTAGCAATATTAAAATTTGAGTAATGCTACATTGTCAACCTAGTATACAACTAGGTTGACAACACAAGTGAAAACATTTAAAAAAGAAAAAATAAAAAAAATATACAAGTAGATGTTTTTACTTGTATTGTCAAACTAGTTGTACACTAGGTTGGTAATGTAGCATTTTCCTTAAAATTTTTCTTTTGGGAAGATATATTAAAAAGTTTTTTAGGTTGTATTAAATTGTGGACCATAAATGGGATCAAAATTTCAAAGCATGGCTACTTTCCACTTGGATATAGATAAGCATACCTAAATTATAAACTGTGTCATAGGGGTGATTAAACATGATTTATTATTAATCTTAATAATTAATTGAAATGTATGGCTTAATAATTAATTAATCTTAAAGTTTAAAGTGATTTTTGTATTAATTTATTTTTAATTATAAAATTTGAAATGTAGGTTAGGTGCAGTGCTGCTAAGTGCTAACTACTGACCCTTAAATGTATGCAGGCATCAATTTACTTGAAATGTGAAAATTTGAAAATGTCTGAAACAGTGTTTCTTGACTGCACCTTTTCTAAATCATATTTTTGCTTCAATAAAATGTCAGGCTGGTTGGTCTTTTCGCCTTGTAGTTTGGTACATATATTTTTTATTTGAATTATTTAGTTTTTATACATATTTTAGTTAAAGATTTAATTTCATTTATAATTTTTCTCTGTGGAATTTTGATTTTTCTAGATTTTTTATTTAATGATTTAGTTTCTTCTACAACTTATCTCTACGGACTAAGATATATTTTACTCTTATGTGTCGGCCATCTATATGATAATCATTTTCTTGTAGCATCTTTTGTTTTGGTTTGTATTTCCTTATACAACTTACAGTTATATTAATAATATTAAAATATTGTAAATATGATACTAAATAAATTGAAATATTATATGTTAACTTTTATAATTTATTTTATAAAAAAACTACAAATGTAAAGTTAATAAATAATTAGTAAGTAGGTTAAGTTAATAAATACTAAATATTGAGTTGTAAATAGACATTGGTACAACCCATATTTGCGTTTAACTGAAGATGTATATATATCATATTAACTGATCACTCACTGCGTCTAAACTCATATATCATATTAACTAACCACTCACTGCGTTTAAAGTCATCCTATTAACTGAACACGACTGAACACTCATACTTCGGCATACATCCATCGCCAATTAAAGGAATTAAAATTTGGTAGTGAAATCTAGCAGCATACTTCCATGGGGAATTTCAATTTAGAGTGAAATCTCCAAAAATATGATTGGATTTGAATTATCAGCGGAGTCCCCAAAAATCTTAAATCCCTTGTATGGCGAGAATTGTAATTGTTTTGGAATAGTTGATGGGAAAATAAATACGGTAAGTGTAAATTTAAGTTTTTTATTTTTATTTATTTATTTTTTTTTTACTTTTCACCAATATATGATATGATGAGGCATCGATATCGCAGCTGGACTTGAATAAGCTACCAACATATGATGGGGAGGAGGCATCGATATTCAGTTGGACTTGAATAAGCTACCAACATATGACGGGTTCATCTCAGCGGCACATGAATCATTATTATATCTTGACTTGAATAAGCTGCCAATATATCATTGGTTAATCTCAGCGGCACAACTACAAGAGAAGGCTCAACGAGTTCTACTGGGGATCATGTTGAAATGTTAAAAATATTAGTTCCTATTTTATATGAAGATATAAAATAACTAGTAGTTTGTATTAATTGTACTTTGATGTTTTATTAAATTGAAATTTTTATTATTGTACTGATGAGATAAAATAATTGTATTTTATCTTATTTTTTTTAATCTTGCTTGCTTATTGTAAGTGGTATTAATGAATTCATTTGTGCAAAACAAATTTACTGAAAACTCCATCGGATGAAAAACGGAAAATTATGCCATTAAATTGTAATTGTCACTAATATAAAGATATTAAGAACGGACCAATCCATTACAAATTTGGTAGCTTAAATTAGACATCGAAACGATGATCTCGTTTCTAATTTGGTTTCTATTAATGAATAATTAGGAACAAATATTCTCGTTTCTAATTTGGTTTCTATTATTGAATAATTAGGAACAACTAATCTCATTTTTTATTTGATTGCTACTTCTCAAATATTAGAAACGAGTTGCTTCTTATAAAAACCGCTAGTGATAGCAACGGAACGAAATCCGTCTCTGAGCATCAACACCCCTGTTTTCACTAGCCAATAATGTAATGGAATATACTTGTTTCTGTTGTTTATTAGTAACAAAAACATGCCCTATTGCAACACAATTTTCCGTTATTGAAGTCTCACTTTCTAGTAGTGAATATTGGGATCTGAGCCGTTAAAGTACGAATATGTGTATGCTTCTCAGCTTGTGTTCATGTGATATGTTGGATCAAATTCCAGTTGTGCGTATGATAAACAATTGCATAATTTTGAACATATCCCTTTTCAAAAAACCTTTCCCATGTACACAGCCAGAAACCATAAGTACAACAATGCTATGCATGACATGCTAAAAGAGCGTACTAGTACAACACCCGTGTTTCACGGGTGCTTGTTAAAAAATATTCTTAAATTATAAAATTAATGAGATAAATTATTTTAAATTTTATTTACTTTTTCACAAAAACTATATATTATTATGTATTTTAGAATGATACTTGTTACTTGTGTGACTTACATGTGTTATATTATAGTAATTTTTATAACTTATATCGTATAACTACTTAAAATATAAATATATTAATTGATAAATAATTTTATTTTTCTAATTAATATTATAAAATATTATTATTTTTATAAATATAAATATAATTTAATTTTTATACATACAATATGGATGTTAAATCGAAGCCCAAGAGATGATTAATTTGATATATTATATATATAAACTGATAAAAAATACAAAGTTATTAACTTTAAAAATACATTTACAATTCAATGGTTATAACTTATAATAAGAAATGATATTAAAATTCAATTAATACATGTAACATGACCATAAATAATCAACATATTTATGGATAATCCGGACCTAATTATTTTTGGATTGGAAGTAAATTAAAATCTACCAAAGCCTAATAACAAAGCATGTAATTTTGTCACATAGGATCCCGAAGCCTGCCACTTAGGCTCAATACGTTCTGAATTAATATATAGGATGGGATGATGACAATATGACATCACCTTCTTTTTTTCTTTTTCTTTTTGTAATTGCCCCTATGTATAATTCTGAATCCGTTGAGCCTAAGTGGCATGTTCGTGTGCTTCGTAAGCTTATTTATATAAATTGGTGCTTCGTTTGTCATAAACTATTTTAGCTTTCCTTTTTTTCTGAAGTTTTTTTTTTTTTTTTTCCAACGATAAACATTCTCCATTAAACCAAATAAAAAGAAGAGTACAAAGGGGAATCCTCGAATCCTGGGTCACTAGGAGGACAAGCCAACATAGATGCCTAACCGATACATAACCAAATGATGACCAGCCTACTAAAACAGCTATCACCAACATTAATACAACTTAATGAACAATGCACCAGACAAACAACAAAGACAATGTTTTAAGAATAAGAAACCAACAATAGAAATACACAAACAAATAGGCCACTGACACTAGACTTAGACTACTCCTCTGGCATTCTGCTATTCTTTCATGTTACTGGCTTTGAAGTCCACCCATTCTCTCATTGCAGCTTGAATAATCCACATCTCTGGTTGCCATTGCTTCTCAAAAATCCATAAATTTCTAGCCCTCCATAACCACCATAATATGTAGGTAGATAACTGGATTCTATCTTCTGAAATCTCCTTAAAGTTCATAGTACAAATCCACCACCACCATTCTTTGAAGCTCATCTGTTCCTGTTGTACTCTGCACCATTCCACCAGAGCCAGTTTCCATGTTAGTTTTGCCCTGCTGCATAAAAACAACACATTCTCCTGTGTTTCCACCCCTTCTCCACATACTCTACAAGTATGATAAATTTTTAGCCCTCTCCTAGCCAAGTTGCAGCAGACAGGTAAAATCCCAGTGAAGCGCTTCCAAATGAAGTGTTTTACTTTCCCCATCACCTGAAGGGACCAACATCTGTTTCTTGCTCTTTTATTCCCCCCAGCAAGCATGCTACACTCAGCCACAGTTCTACCCTTCAAGTTTTCAGCAATCAATCAGGAGTATGCTTTCTTAACAGAAAACTTACTTTTACCTTGAAAAGAGCAGCTCAATTTGTCTGCTGCATTTGGATTTAAGGTCTTTATCTGTAGAATCAGAGATGCATCCTTTTCCTCAAACAAGGCGTTGATTATGTTGGTATCCCAGTGCACCCCACCTGCAATCAGAAGGTCTTTCACCAAAAACAAACGGCCATTTATATCAGTTCTGAGGACAGAAGACCCTCCATTCAACCTTGGAACCCAGTTGCAATCATTAATCTTAGTGCTTTCACCATTTCTGACAGTGATGTGAACCTATTTCTGCAGAATAGAAAGAAGAGATGCCCAGGAGTTCCATAACCAAGAAGCTCCACCAGAATTATTCTAGTCAAAGATAGAACACATGGGAAAATACTTGCATTTCAACACCCTACTCATTAGAAGCTCAGGTTGTTCAGTGATTCTCCAGAGTTGCTTCAGGATCATAGCTTTGTTGAGCAGTTTAATGTCCTGAAACCCCAGTCCTCCCTCACACTTTGGAATGGCCATTTTATCCCAAGCTAGCCAGTGCATGCTTTTGTCCTGAATATCTCCCTTGGCCCACCAGAATTTGGCTATTAACCTGCATATTTTTTTGCACACACTCATAGGCAAAACAAAACAAGACATCACAAATACTGGGAGGGCATATACTACTCTTACATTTTTCATTTAATTCATACATTAATTATTATAAATATGTATTGTAGCGCCCGCTTTCTAAATGCTAATATTTTCAGAATAATTTAAAACTTTTTAAGTTAAACTTTTCTTTCTTCGGGCAACTACTCAACTCTTTTCTAAAATGTTTCTCCTTTCTCACTTTTCAAAATTTTCTTTGCTCTATTAAACTTTATAAAACTTTCTTGTTTCTAAAATCATTCTTTCTTTCTCTTTTTCACTTCTTTCTTTTCTTTCTGAACTTGTGAAAACTTTTCTTTCTTGCTTCTCTTTGATTCGATCCAAGACGCTAACTTTTCTTTCTTGCTTCTCTTTGCTCCTCCGCTGGTGCCTGTCCAGTATCCACGTCCCAGAGCTGTTGTTTGGCTGAAACTCGAGTCGCCTTGGGTTAAGCTAAACACTGATGGAGTCTTTGATCGACTTACTGGAGTTGCAGGAAGTGGGGGCCTGATTAGGGATCATAGCAGCGCCCTTATTGCCGCGTTCCATGCCCCTCTTCGGGCCTCTTCAAGCTATGAAGCGGAGGTTCAGGCGCTTTAGATATGTCTTCAGGTTGCCGCTTCGATCTCCTCTCAGAGTTGGATAGAGTTGGACGCTGCCACTGTCATCACTCTTTTGTCATCTGGCCATCAGGGAATGTGGCAGATTCAACACCCTCTCATGCGTATCAGAGCCACTTTTTAGTCGATTCGCTCTCGGATCTCGCACATCTTCCGCGAGGGGAACCGGCCAGCTGACTTCTTCACTGGCATCGGGTCCTCCACCCCTCAGAGACGCATTCTTTACCCTGACGACATTCCTCTCCGCCTCCGCACTCTCATACGAATGGACCAGATGGGATACCCTTCATTCAGATTTGTGTAGCCGGTCCTACCTTTTGGCGCATCTACTACACAGTGATGCTGACTTCTTCACCGGGAATCTCCCCCGATCAGGATCTGTTGTTTTTGTATTTCTCGCTGCAGTTGTCAGCTTCCCTTGTATTCTTTTCTTGCTTTTGTTTTGTGGTTTTTTCGTTCGACTTGATGTATATNAAAAAATAAAACTCCCTGAAATCAATTTAAGATGAGCAGAGTACTTGAATATAAATACTTGATTGACATTTCATAGTCTCATAACAATCATGATCACAAACCATGATAAATAAAAGTATGTAACTGAGTTCAGTGGAATAAATACAACATAAATAGTAATGACCACCACCAGCACTCCAGTGCCCACGTCCAGCTCCTTAACCTGTACGTCACCTGAAAGAGGGATGTGGGGGATGAGCCAAAAATAATCCACGGGATCATCTGGAGTCTATAAAGTACGGACATTCAGATTAAACAACGGATACCTTGTAAGCAGATATAATTCACAGATAATGGTTTCAAATAAAGTTCTGGCAACCAAAGGAGTACTGCCCCTAAGGTGCATAAAATTTTGGCAACCGTCGAAGTACTGTGCCCCTCAGGTGCATCTGATATTCTGACAACCGTCGGGGTACTGCCCCTCAGGTTATCTGTGGTCTACTTAGCCCCTCAGAGTACTGCCCCTTAGGGTGCTAGCTAGCATACGACATGTCTCATCTGGGAAACACATAATTCATGCAAATAACGGCAAACAAAAATAACACGTGTTTAATCAGAAGGATGTACTAGATAGACTTCCCAACCTGAATACGCTGAAATGAAAGTAGTTGCTTATGTGGAAACTTGAGGGCTCGACTCCTCGGAATCTTCTTCTGGAATCTACTTAAAATGAAGGAGGTTTCAGTTTATAGCTTCGGACTTGAAATTAGACCTCGACTCTCGGCTTAGGCTCGGCTAGGCTACATTAAGGTCGAAAGTTTGAGGGCTAGGATGATATTTTAACAACCTTATTAAATCTGTAAAGGTCTCAAAATTTGATGATTTTTGATTGAAAACCGATGGCTCTTTATAGGCTAGGGAAATGAAGAAAAAAAAAAAAAATCTCAACTATTATAAGCTGCATCCTGCGTGAGGAACATGAGCTGAATTTTCAGCTCAAATTATTGCTTTACCAACTCATAACCACTCTTAATATAATAGTAAGGAATCAATTAATAAAATTGATATCAAAATAAATTTAAAATGCTAAGATGTTTCGGCCTTTACACTATGGCCGAATGATTGTTTCCTTTGATCTTAAAAAATTCCTCTCCAATAATTTACTAACAACTCCACCTAAGATGCTTTGAGAATCGTTTAAAAATTTTAAAGCATAATTCAATTAAATGCTGGCATCATATAGGTTCGGTTTTTCTTCTTCTATGCCCGAAAAATGATCTACTTGACTCACAAATTAATGCCACATTTTAAATACACTAAAATAATTTTAACTGGTGGAAACTTGAGGGTAATTTATTTTTAAAAAAATAAAAAAATTAAATAGACAAAAATAAAACAAAAAAATAAATCAATAGCCCAAAATCAAATACACGTATTCTCATAATACGTTTTAATAATTAGATTTTATTTAAAAAAACGTATTCTTAGAATACGTGTTATAATTAATTTTATTTTTTAAAAAGAAATTAAAAAATATTATAAAACGTATTGTTATAATACATTTTTTAAAAAAAAAATAATAAATAAAACGTATTTTTATAATACATTTTATATTTTCAAAATAATAAAAAAATTAATATTTAGTATGTATTTTGTGTTTCGAGCTCGTTTGGGATCGTCTGAACTCGGAATTGAGTTTCGTTTTTTCCTATACGTAGCTAACGACCCCCTCTATTCAATGATGCTTGCATGACCAAATTATTCTTGAAATCTTCTCGCTTATTTTGCTACTATTCCCACGGGAATTCAAATTTCTCTAATTAAATGCTCGGAACTCCGAAATACTTGATAAATGCCCCGCATGACATCGTGCCTGAATTATCTACACGCCCCAACTCGATTCTCGGTAAACCGAAGTCACACGCGACCTTGCGGGACCCACGTAAACGGCTTTTTCATTTATTTGACTAATATGCACCCTCGAACTCGAGCTCCTCTAAATAAATGATCGGGACCTCGAAATAATAAATCGACGCCATAAACGGCTTATCTACACGCCCCAACTCGATTCTAGGTAAACCAAAGTCACACGTGACCTTGCGGGACCCACGTAAATGGCTTTTTTATTTATTTTACTAATATGCACCCTCAAACTCGAGCTTCTCTAAATAAATGATCGGGACCTCGAAATAATAAATCGATGCCATAAACGGCTTCTTCTCTTCTCCTGCTTTCTCGAAAGCACTTTTGTTAATGCTCGACTCCCTTATAGAGGCCCGACGGAACACCCGAAGTCTCTTCTTCTCGCTTATTTTGTTACTATTCCCACGGGAATTCAAGTTTCTCTAATTAAATGCTCGGAATTACAAAATACTCGATAAATGCCCCGCATGACATCGTGCCTGAATTATCTACACGCCCAACTCGATTCTCGGTAAATCAAAGTCAAAGTCAACCTTGCGGGACCCACGTAAACGGTTTTTTTCATTTATTTTACTAATATGCACCCTAAAACTCGAGCTTCTCTAAATAAATGATCGGGACCTCGAAATAATAAATCGATGCCATAAACGGCTTCTCCTCTTCTTGTGCTTTCTCGAAAGCACTTTTCGTTAATGCTCGATTCGCTTATCGAGGCCCGATGGAACACCCGAAGTCTCTTCTTCTCGCTTATTTTGCTACTATTCCCACGGGAATTCAAGTTCTCTAATTAAATGCTCGGAACTCCGAAATACTCGATAAATGCCCAGCATGACATTGTGCCTGGATTATCTACACGCCCCAACTCGATTCTCCGTAAACCGAAGTCACACGTGACCTTGCGGGACCCACGTAAACGGCTTTTTCATTTATTTTACTAATATGCACTATCGAACTCGAGCTTCTCTAAATAAATGATCGGGACCTCGAAATAATAAATTGATGCCGTAAACGGCTTCTCCTCTTCTCGTTTAATGCTCGACTCGCTTATCGAGGCCCGACGGAACACCCGAAGTCTCCTCTTCTCGCTTATTTTGTACTATTCCGACGGAAATTCAAGTTTCTCTAATTAAATGCTCGGAACTCCGAAATACTCGATAAATGTCCCGCATTACATCGTGCCTGAATTATCTACACGCCCCAACTCGATTCTCTGTAAAACCGAAGTGACACGCGACCTTGCGGGACTCACGTAAATGGTTTTTTCATTTATTTTACTAATATGCACCCTCGAACTCGAGCTTCTTTAAATAAATGATCGGGACCTTGAAATAATAAATCGACGCCATAAACGGCTTCTCCTCTTCTCGTGTTTTCTCGAAAGCACTTTTCGTTAATGCTCGACTCACTTATCGAGGCCCAACAGAACACTCGAAGTCGCCTCATTAAATAAGTTAATATATAACGAAAAATGAAGAAAATTTAATATAGATAATTAATTTTTTTGTAAGACGTACTACGGTAATACGTTTTACAATTAATTAATTATTTTATAAATTAAATTAATTTTATAATGTATATTTATTTATAAAATGTATTACGGTAATACAATTAAATTAATTTTATAATATATATTTATTTATAAAACGTATTACGGGAATACATTTTACAATTAAATGTAAATTATAAAATTAGTTTTATTTATAAAATGTATTATTAAAATACGTTTTAAAATTAAAACGTATGTAAAACGTATTCTCAGAATACGGACTTTTGATTTTGGTCCACATTTTAATTTTTTTTTTTTTTTATTTTTGTCCACTTATTTTTTTAAATTTTTATTTAAACAAAAAAATCGGAAACTTGATTCAATGAAATAAATAAAATAAAAATGCTAAGGTCTACCATGAATGAGTTCGGCCCACTCATCAACCAATTCGTTATTTTAAAGGCTTAATAAACTTTTGAAGTGATCATAGCCATGACACCACTTAACCAAATACATAAGATAACTCTTAAATGAAGGATTAATATTTTAAGCATTCTTGGAGCCGGATGATGGCGTGTGAGTAAGGCCTTGAATTTAAAAATGATAGTAGATGGCAACTTACTTAAAATATTGAAAGATGAAAGCATCTTGATCTAGGTGTTGTATTTAAAAAATAAATACCATATGCTTAGAACATGAGGGCCATCCATTAGTCTTTGAAAAATAAACTCCATGTGAACTTGAAAAAAATAATGGTCTTAGTTGATCTTGAAAAACCGAAGCATATACATTGCCTTGTTCAGAATTTTCAAGGGATTTTAGCATAATCTTGCAAGTTCTAAGGTTGAGAACTAAATCCCAAAGGCTAAGAAGAATTTGATAAGAAAAACGGTTAACGACAGTTCTAAAATAAAATTAAATCGACGAATTTCGATAGCTACTTAAATTCGAAAATTCTAATATTCTAAATTTTCTAACATATCTAACTAAGATTATATACTTAAAGGATTAAATAGACGATGATGTCTATATAATCTCGGATATTTTGTGGAGCTTGAAAAACTATATGCAATGAAATGCATAATAAACTGAGATGTCTTCTTAGAAACTATTGGGGTGTTACATGTATTTTTTTTTTATTTTTAAAACTTTATAAAATTTTTATTTGTAATTTATTTTTTATATATGATCTACCAAAATAATCATATTTTAACGATCTTCGACTTGAGATTCATATTTCATATATAAAATAAAAAATAATTTCAATAAATATTTATAAATAAAATCAATTCTACTATCAACTCAATTTAACAAAACAACTTATAACAAGATAAATTACTTTATAAAAATAATAAAAATATAATTCATTAATCCACCATAAAATAATCATTTTATCGTTATTTTCTCAAAATTTTTAATAAATATTATAATATATTATTTCTCAATTTAAGTAGATTATATAAAAAATTGAATGTTATTATGTTATTTATAATAGTAAATATAAAATAATAACATAACTAAATATAATAAAATAATTTTGTATTTGATAAATTTAAAAAATAATAGATTTCTACGTAAACTCTAAATTATTAATTATATGAATTTAAAATACTTGAAAAACTATAGCCGTGAGATATTGACTCTAGAAATATGAATATAATCACAATACAATAAAGTTTGTTTTGTTAAAAAAAATACAAATCAAATATATGATGTTGTAAATAATATCAATTTTATACATGTGTAATTTTAAAAATATAATTAAAAATATATTTTTTTTGGCAAATTTATATATATATATATATAAAGAGAATAACTATTTACCAAAAATAGCAAGTAATAATTTCAGTCAAAATTAAATGCATACTAATTCGGGTTTGCGCGCAGGTAGAAGGAAGAAACATAAGCCATACAAATGAAACGAAGTGCAGTGAAGTTTTTTCAATTTTGTATTTTCTTTTAACATTTAAATCGGGCAGCGTTTAATGCTACCATCAAAATTTGATATTGTTCAATTCTAATTCAAAAATTGCGGCTACGAATATTTTTAAAAAATTTTGGATAGATTTTTCCAATCATTTTGGACAGATTTGCCAACCCTTGCTTAAATAAGGATTTTGTTCAACTTAAAATTTCAAAGTATCGACTTCAAACTGGTGTATATCAAATTTTATGCATTTTACAATTGAAAAACACAAATGTACACGAATTTTAGGTATAAATATTTTTAAAAAAATTAGACCGATATTTCCAATCATTTTGGACGGATTTTCCAACCATTCCTTAAATTAAGAATTTTGTCCACTTAAACTTTCAAATATCGATTTCAATATATGGTGTATATCAAATTGTATGCATTTCACAATTTAAAAACACCAATGCACACGTGTTTTATATAAACTTCCTACATGATGGATTTAGTTCAATTTGACAGGTATTTTATAAATCACACATTTTTTTTCAAAATTTGGACTTATTTTGTTTAAATTTTCATTTCGAACATGAAATCCTCTGTTGGAGTAATTTGTAATTACTAAGATTTTATATACTTTTAAACATGTTTTTCGGGTAATTTTTTTTACACATTCTATGGATTATATATATATATATATAGAGAGAGAGAGAGAGAGAGAGAGAGAGAGAAATGCTATAGGTACATAATATTGTACATAGAGGTGTACATAAAATACTCACATTAAGTGGGCCTTGTCAAAAATAAAAAATCAAGTGGACCTCAATCCATGTGAGTGTAATATACACCTCTATATACATGTATTATGTACTTGTAGCATTTTTCATATATATATATATATATGTGTGTGTGTGTGTGTGTGTGTTAAATTTAAATGTCTTTAGACATGTTTTGGTTACAAAATAGTTTAGAAAAACTTTAGGTGACTTCAATTTTTTTTAAAATTAATATATAATATTTTACATAATCTTATATTTGTTATATAATATTTTAGGTATTTTTAATATTTTAAACATATATGTTTTATGTTATTTAGACAAGATAATTTTATATTATAAATTATATCACATGTTAACTCCATTTTTCTTTAATTTATAATTATTATTTAATATTATTTATTCACTCATTCATTTATAATTATTATTAAATATAATTTGTCCGTGCATCGCACGGGCTACGCACTAGTTTAGTGTGAAATGCTGACACCATTTAATTTAATAAAAATAAGGGCATCATTTGAATTAATTATCACTTTGTTAGTTATTTATCACTATTATACAAATATTAATATATTTTAAATATCCTTGTAGTACACGGTTATTCTACTAGTAGCTATTTATTCGTAAAATTGATGAGGGCGGATGCCTTAAGTAAGTTCCACTTATTCCTAAGGCGTTAGGTACAGGGTGGCGCCAACTGTGATGACTATAGCCCGCGTACCATCATCTAGCTTGTTTCTAAACTGAAATTATTGCTTGGTAATGATTTTATATTTTTTTAACATGTCTTCTCATCCCTGTTTGTTTTAGTTCAATTCAATTTTCTCTAGCGCAAAATTGAGTACTTGTTAGTAATTAAGCTTGCATTAAGATGAATAAAGATGTTTGTGTGTCCACGCTCAGGTTTTAGTAGTATGCTTGTCACTAGTTACAGGTTTTGGAAGTTGATGAAGCAATTTCCATCGATTATGCGCGGACCATTTTGCAGAATGTGATTGGAAATGTTAGCCGTGAAGGTTGATTGAAAAGGAAGCCATATGAGTTAACCTTAATTTCTTGACTGGATTTATTTTTATGTCAAAAATAAGTATATGAAAAAAAACCTCCAAACATTAATTCACTCCACCAATCCAATTGTGTACCAATTCCACGCTAGGCAACTAAGAACAATTTGATATCATCATCACTCTCAAAGGCAGGCACGTCCTCATGGCTTAGATGCACCCACGCCTCAATTCCCCCGCCCTCTCTATCCTCCATAAGTATCGTCAGATTCTCCGTACACACCTTCCCCACCCGCACCCAAACCGGCTTCCCCCACCCGAAATCCGCTTCGTAAAACCCAAACTTGCTCCAATCCGTAAACCACATCGCCACGTTATCCCCACTCGCCAACGTCTCAAACATCTTCTCCAACGGCCTTCTCACCATCTCCACGCGCCTCTCTCCATCCAACCGCATCATCTTTCCACATTCCTCAACCGCCTTCTCTATCGATCCCCCGACCACACGAACCAACTCGTCGAGCCCTGGCTCCCGAGTGCCGCCGGCCTCCATGCACCTCACCACCGCCTCGTACACGAAATTCCCGCACGCGTGGCTCCCGAGAGGCGGGACCGTCCTCGGCCGCATGTTCACCCCTTGCCCCAAGTAGCAAGCCCTCCCGTTTTTCGCGAGCTCGATTTTCAACAACGCCTTGGCCACGACCGCGCTCACGACCCTCACCCGAGTAGTTTCCGGTCTCCGGAGCTCGGATCTCAACCGGGACACAGCCTCCCGCCCGAACCTGAGCCGGCGGACCGCGACGCTCCGCGGCGGCTCGAATTCCGGCGCGAGGCCCGTGCCGGGGAAAATCGACGGTGCGTCGAAAGTCGGGAAGACGGTTTTCTTCTCCGCATGGGCCCATGCGGAGACGAACGTCCCGAGGGAGGACGCGTCGGAGATTCGGTGCGAGAGGCTTATGCCGAGTGCCCAACCGCCGCATTTTGGGAAATTCGTGATTTGAACGGAGAGTATCGGGTCGTCGGGCTTGTCGACGTCGTAGGTCGTCCGGGGGAGGAGGCAGTCGAGGCTTTCGTCGTTCTCGATTTTTGAGAGGAAGGTCGAGAGGTCAAGGCCGGGGAGCTCGGCCTCGACGAACTCGGCACCCTCGTCGTTGCAGTCGACCGAGAGGTCGTTTTGGAGGTAGCGTCCGGCGAAAGGGTAGAATCGGGTGAGGATATGAGGGAGGGTTTGTTGCGGGTCGGGTTTTTTCGGGTCGGGTTTGGGGTTTTGAGGGTAGAAGAGAATGAGGCTCATGTTCATGGGTGGTATGATCTCATCTAAGGCGGATAGTTTGTAGCGTCTGAGGTTTGGAGGGGTTGGGGTGGAAGGTTTGATGTATTTCCTGGAGATTATGGTCACCTTCATTTTGATGGATATGATTGGTAGTTGGACAATGGTATGTACAGTTATAGATTTATAGAATTTCTGTTCTTTGTAAAAAAAAAAATAAAAATTGATGAGAATAAAACAAGGGGCCCATTTCGAGTGCGCATTAATTTATTGACTCAAATGCAACTTGGTCAGTGACTGATGGCTGCCTGCCTATCGTATGTCCAGAATCCTATAAAATCTTCTTGCTTTAGATTTAGGCGTGTCCTTTACCATATTTTCACCAACTGAAAAATCTTGCTTTATTAGATTTAGGAGGTGTTTTGGATATAAAAATTTTCAATTCATATTTATTTTAATTAGTGCGTATTAAATGAGTTATTTTAACACGCTATGTTCGTTTAAGTTTAAAGAGTAATACAGTTATCATCTATTTTCCATCTCTTTTAATCAACGTTAAATCTAAAAACTAATAGTGTTATAATATATTTTTCACATCGTTTAATCAGTGTTGTGTTTTTAGCCAGAATATTAAATATGAGCATGTTTGAGGTAGCTTGTAAAATAATTAATATATTATATAACTAACACATTTATGATAATATAAATTTTAGTTTAGTATATATATTTATTCCTTGATATAAGAAAATAACAATTTTACTTATTATTGTTTACTATATAATACTTAATTATTATTCTTTTTTTATCAGTAAATGTAAATTTATAAATCAAAATTGGTGTACAAACGACCAAAAGTCGGCATACAAAAGCGCAATGGGCAGCCACAAGCTCCTCCTCACTCGCATATGAACGGTCTAAGAGGACAACCCCATGTTGGTAGACTTGGCCGCGGGCCGAACCGGCACGAATCCGTAACCGGCCACATACGGGCCGGTCCGTTGGACCGAACCACAAGGGTCGCGGTTCGGTCCAGGTTCATTTATTTATTTTATTTGCCCCGGCGGTCCGGTCCGGGCCAGGCCGGTTCGCGGGCTGACCGCCGACAACGGTTTTGTAATTTCTTTTTTTTTAATATTTAATTCGCCCGACCCGACGTCAGAATCCTGCAGGCTGCCCAGTGCCCATACCGCATATATCCGTTGGGCCAGGTTGGACCACGGTTCGGGCCGGTCCACGGGCCCAACCGTAAAAAAAATAAGTAAATAAATTAAAAAAAATAAAAAATAAAAAAATAAAATCTGGCCGTTGGATCGGAAATGACCGTTGGGATCCAATGGCCCAAAATTGCCGTCCGCCCGACCCGCCGGTACGGACTACGACCCGACGGGTCCNCCGGTGCGCAGTACGGTGGGGTTATTTCCTCAAATCTTTTTTTTCTAAACTTTATTTATTATTTTTGTTTATATATTAATAATTTGATTGTAATAGAAAAAAAAGAGATAGAAATACAAAGTACAAAAAAAAAAATTTCATATATTATTAAACACTTTTCTATACACAACATTATTGGTTTGATTTGCTTTCAAACCTTCTTCTCCACAAATTAAAATTTTCAGACCCTTTCTATTAGTAACACGGGAGACAGCGATATATAACTGGCCAGGACTAAAAACTGGTTTCTTCAAGAATAAGCCAACATGCAATAAGGATTGACCTTGACTCATACGAAACCATAATGGGACTGTCTTCTTTGGAATTTGAATGGTACTCTAACATCAGAAGGAGTTATGGTCATCCGAGGTATCAAAACTTTATCACCTGCATGATCGCCAATAAGAATTTTACACTCGAGAACATGATTGGAGAGTTTGGTCACAACCAATCGTGTACCATTGCAGAGTCCCACTGAGTGATCTATGTTCCGCAACAACATAACTGGAGTTCCGACCTTCAAATTCAACTCATGATTCGGTGTTTCAGAACACTTGATAGTATTCAAGAACTCAGGAGTATGGAGTTGTGCCAGGAAGTCAATATTGGAGTCAGATTTACACGTACTGTCTGAGCTTATATACGTGCGTCCTTCAGTCAAATTCAATGACGACATGTATGCATTTATAGATTCTATGACCTCTAGTGTTGGCGCAAGTATAGCCCTGTCTTTCAAGTAACTTGGATCATCGGTTGCATTCTTGAACATCGGATACGTGCTTTCAACAATTTTTGCAATTGGATCATCGAATGGCTCTAGTAATAGATCATCTGGTATGTCATCAGAGCACATCCATCATTTGTACCCTTCANATGTTCCATCTCCGATGCTCGCTATCCAATCAACAAAAGCAGCTAGCTCGTCACGTTCACTGGAATCGCCAATGCTCTGAAGACGCATGTTCTTTGTAAGCCTAAGTACAGTACAGTCTCCCAAATGCTAGAAGAATTAATAACAGCATTAACAATCTACTGACGAATCCCGTGCTTTTAACAATGCTAGAAGAATAAAATATGGAACCAATATGTAATACAATTTACCTATATTAATTTATTGAAAATGTTATGTGAAATTTAAATTTTGCAAAATTACATAAAATATGTCTTCAAATTAGTACACAACTCGTACAATAAATGTAACTGATAATAAATTACATTATATTCATTTCAAAATAAGTGTTATTTTAAAATTTTTATTCAAAAATTTGATTTGACTACAATGTGATTTCATAAAATAAATATCTTGATAAAAATTTATCATATATTTCCAAATAAAACTCATACCACTTATTTTGTTTTTAAAATTTTCAAATATACTTTCATCCATAGTAAATAAATTCATACCATTTAAATTCGTACATTACTACTAAAATAAAATCGCCACTTTATACTATAAAATCAGACATTTATTAATAACAACACATTTCTTACAAAAAATAAAAATAAAAATGGCCATCAAATATCTAAAATGAAACTACCCACTTTATACCAACACGGGATTTATTAATTTTGCCAACTTTATATCATAAATTGATTAATTAATTTATAGAAACAGGATTTTTTAAAAATTTTCATGTTATTGATATAATCAATATGCAAATATAAGTTAAGGAAAAGAGCATATAAGGGGCTTCAATTCGAGAAGATGGTTTTTTTTTTTTCTTTATTCAAAAGTCCAATATTTCATCTCATTAGCTAAAAAAACCCACAACAGAATCCCCATAGACATAACACAGCCATATGTTACAAAACTCCTGAACCCACAAAAAAAGGTAAATAAATATCCCATAAAACAAAACAATATTGACATTTAGTAACTCGCCCAACATTTGATGTCCTCACTCATCATCATTTCTCGCTGCAGCATTGAGAGCATTCAACCTCTCGATCAGCTTGGTCTTCCTCTCTTCGTATGTCAATTTCTTCAGGTTGAATCTCTTGTGCTCTTTAGGAGGCTGCTTTTGAGATTTCTTTTATGTGGGGTCAGCATGAATGACTGCATGTACCTTCTTGTACAAAGCCTCTATGTTATCTTCTTCAACGCCCTTCTTGATATACTGGCTAAACACGGACGGGTACTTCTCAGGTTCATCTTCTATGTAGAGAAGCAGTGGCATTTCTAGTCATATCAAGGCAGTTGCATTTTTATTTATATTGAAAAAGTAAGAAATATAAAACCTGGAAAGAAGCGCTAAAATCACCAGAATAAATTCTCGACTGGTAGCTATGCAAAATCCTCTCTAACCCATAATAGTTCTCCTGGACAATGCCGAAAATCAGCACAAAGAGTGGTGGACCATTATATATAGATTTTGAATTATCCTAGTTAGTTAAGTGGTACAAAAAAGCATAAAAAATTTTATGGGTCATTTTGCCCCGCAGAACCACAATATCACTATAATTATGAGTGGATTTCGTGAATGAACCTGCAATCCATTTTCATGCGAGATGACAAAGCCATTTTTTTTAGTTGATTATTGTATATTTTGTTATGAATATTCCTTATAGTTATGTATATTGATGAGTTTTGTTTCATTTTTATTTGTAATTCTGTTGTAAGTTTGTGAATAAATGTTTGGTTTTTGTGTGTATAAAAGTATTTATGTTATAAACAATGAAAATAAATTGCATATAATTTACCGTCTGTATTCTTGTATAATAAACTAAAAATAAACTATATATAAATTTATAGTTGTTATTCTTTTATTGGTTTGTAAACATATAATAAACTAAATATAAACTTACAATTATAAACCTAATATAATCTAAAACTAAACTAAATATAAACTAAAAAAAAAACTGGTTTATAAACCTAATATAATCTAAAAATAAACTAAATATAAACTTACAATATATATAAAAAAAGCGGGTTTATAAACCTAATATAATCTAAAAATAAACTAAATATAAATTTNATATAATCTAAAAATAAATTAAAACCATTGACCGCTTCTCCACCCACCCTCTCCGCCTGAGCAATGTCATTAGCTTCTATTCCTGCAATTACCAAATTAAACTTTCGCAGAACCAAATCTCCGATTCGTACAGCAACAGCAGTGTTTCCCTAACCCCCAAAACCTCGTCGAAATTTTACCCAGATGCAGCCTAAACAAATGGATATAACATCTCACAGAAGAATAAACTATCATCTAAAATCCTTTTATTCAATCAATCGTGTCCGGTGAAAATTCATAAACAATGCTGGAAAAAAAAAAGAATTAAAGATTGGCCCCATCAACATTTAAAAGAAGAAGAATCCAGCAGTCGTGGCAGCACCACCAGGTCGGAAGATTCACTGGGGCTGATGGGTCCCTCGACATTGGCGGCGGGAGCAAGAAATGGAGTGTCCAGCGGCAGGAGATGCCTTCGGAGCAGACAAAGGGGAGCTGCTCGGCAAGTTGGATTAAGTTGCATTAATCCAAGAAATTTATTTAGGAATTACAATTGAGGGAATTAATTCCTAAATGAAATTAATCCAAAAAAAATAATAAAAAGGTTATTGCTGAAGTAGACCAAAGAATTAAAACAACTTGTCTACAAATGTACTAATTGCCAGAGTAGACAAAAGCAGACAGGTTAAGTGGTGTCACATGATCATAGACATAATAATCTTGCACAGATAACTTCAATAAACTAAATTTCACTAATGCAAAAGCATATAACTTGCATTGTTTACCTTTAATAGCTTTTCCTTTTCATGGGGTATAACAAAGGTGAGGAACGATTTGCTCTCTTCTTTAGGTGAAACATCCAAATGCTGCATCAGCAAATTAAGACAATGTTACTACATTTGATGCTTTCAATAAATATGGCTCTTACCTAACTGACATTTGACTTACAGATTTGAAAAACTCTTTCACAGCAATATCCTGAGCTGTACTAACAGAGTCCTGTGTACTGGAAACATCACTGGCAAAGATTATATTTGCAATAAAACCCGTCCCAAATCGTGATTTCAGCCTTATTGAAGTACCAATGCAGCGAAGTCTTCCCTTTGCCATGATCCCTATTCTCTGCCCTTTGCCATGATCCCTGTTGATATCCGACTTGATTGCAAAATTGAAGATGGAGATTAATCACACTATTGAAGAAATAATCTCTTGAGAAGGTGAACTTACTGTAAGTCGGTATTAATTAAAACTAATTACCGACTTCTACATAATTACCGACTTCTACATAGTTACCGACTCCGGAAGGTCTTCGAAAGAACCGATATCTGAAGTCAACACAAATAAACCGACTTCAATTCAACCGACTATCACAAAGTTTGAATATTCCAACAGAAAGTAATCATTGAAGACATCTGATTGGACCAACAAAATGAAAAGGCAATCATTGATGTTTCCCGCCGCTTCGAGTAAAGCAGCTCAACATTAAATGCATCTTTATCCATTCCAAGGAAGAAGACAAAAGCCACCGTACTATAAATAGCCGAATTTATGATAGTACGAGGATCTTCTTTCGAACACATTGTACATGAACTAAAAAACGATCTCGGTTTTCAGTCTAAAACCGACTTCTGTACTCGTGATTATAACAAATAAAATCAAAATGAACAATTATCCTAGTTTTCTTGACATCTGCTGTGTTTAATTTTAAGTTGTTAATTCAAGACAACAACAATCCCTATTCTATCACTTAAGGTGTCAGCCTCCTCCATAGAGTGAGTTGTTAGAATAATTGCACGTCCCTTTTTGGCATTCTCGATCACATCCCATCCTCAACTTCCACAAAACTACCACAAAGAAAATAAATAAATAAATAAAAAAGAGTTTCAAAAAACCAAGAAAAAAGGGATTCATAACACCAAAATCCAGAATTTAGGTGACCTGAATATGATAGAGGCCATGACGGATTCTCCAGTTTGAAGCTTTTTTCGCGCCGAAACTCTTCGGCCAATTTATGCCTAGACCCATCCTTATTTACATCCTGCACAAACGATGTTGAAGTTATTTGTTCACCATATCCACAAGAACCACAGATACACGCACAAAGCACAATCGGAATGCGTCAAAATTAGGGCATATGAAGATCAAGAACGAATTTTTACCTACAATACAATGATATATCCGAACATCCCTTCAAGGGAAAAGTAGAAACACAGGAAGACAAAAAAAAAAACTGAAAAATACAAAAATAAGTAATCAATTTTAACTGAACTGAAGGATGGAGGCGGATTGTAGCAGCTAGGGTTGCGAAACTCGTCAGCCCTAGATGGAGCAAATTCTCGATCTCCCTCGCGATTGAAGCATCCCTGGCGGCGAGCTTTTTTCAATCGAGCTCCTCAATACGCGTGAGCTGCAATTGTTGATTCCAAGTTGGGAGCCGTGGCGCCGCTAGTGCTCTCGCCGTGGAGATTCCAAGCTGGGAGCCTCTGGAGACGGCCGCCTGCTGCTGGCCGATCTTTGTCCAGCCATCAAACCCTAGGGGAGCGGTGGCAATGTGGTGGCTATGGTGGTGGAGCAAGACTGGATCTTAAAACGAATGCAACGATAACGTGGGTATTAGTGCGATGCGGCTGATTCTCGAGAGAAAATAAGGAAATTGGACGGCTTGAAACTCCACGGCCGAGGAGCTCGTCTTCGCCGGAGCCCCATTGGGTTAAATTGGCAGATTTTCCAAAAAAATCTTGATATGAACGGTGATGGTATGAAAAATGCTAAGGAATAATTATGTAGGAATGTGGATATCTGCAAAGATAAGAGCGTAGCCAAAAAAATCTACTCAAATGGTAACTAATAATGTTTTTTTTTATTAATATCTACAAATATTTTGGCAAGAAAATCTGACCATATCTTTAAATCATAAATAAATAAAATCATCTTATATATAGTAAATTTTAGACGGGAATTGAAATCNATTCTTTAAATTATAAAATGTCGAGCTCTCGTGGTGGTCGTGGTTCGAATTTCAGACAGAAACGTAGAAATATCGGCACCGGCACGTCTTCATCAAGACCTCCATTGCCAGAATTTGCGAGTCCATCTATACATGTGGATATTCCCGGTGTCGCCGATGACATTGATGAGGCGATGATCGAGCGCATGTTTGGCTCAATTCAGCCTGAGCAACAAGAGCAACAGCAGCCGTATCACGACCATTTCGATGATATATTTGGAGAGTCCCCGCTGGAGGTTCAGCAACCGACACAGCAGCAACAGCCGGACCCGGAGGTCCCGGACCCGACCTCTATCTTCGCCCGTGGCAGACCGGCATCTGCCATATTCAAACAACATTACACGAAGGTGGCCAATCCGACAAGAGGTGAGAATCACTTTTATGCTGTTTTGCAACTACTGCGAACGAGAAAAAGCAGTACCATTTCAAAAAAGGCGACGGGTACGGATCGTTGAAACGACACTTGGAGAGGAATCATCCGACAAAATTGGGAATTGACATGGCACAGACGCAACTCCCGAGTAGTAGCGCTGCATTTGCCACGATTGGTACAGGTACGCCATCTTTATTTCAGTACTCACATGAAAATCATCGACGCCATTTAGCTGAATTTGTTTCTGCTTCATCTCTTCCGTTTAGCTTTGGTGATAGTGATTTATATGAACAATTTGCTCAAATGGCTTTGAATCCGGCTGCCCACCGGGTTCCACGTACTACTTTTACTCGCGATATTCGTAAAATAGTGGCGGAAAAAAAAAGTAATTTTGCAAGAAACTTTTAAATCTTTAAATCATAGAGTATCCATTTGTGCTGATATCTGGTCTGATCATTGGGAAAATAATTTCTATTTGGGAATTACTTGTCATTGGATAGATGAAAATTGGAGTTTACAAAAACGTTTAATTGCTTATGTTGCATTTCATGAACGACACACTGCTTCTAATATTGCTCGTTTAATTTCAAAAATTTTGGATAAATATCAAATAGGTAAAAAAGTGTTTTCCATTTCTTTTGATAATGCTACTGCAAATACTGCATCTATACATGAACTTACCGATATTTGCACTCTAATTTGCGGCGGAAGATTTTTTCATATTCGTTGTATATGTCATGTCTTAAATCTCTGTGTACAAGCTGGTTATCATGCTTTTAAAGATTCGGTCACGCCAATTAGGGACGCTGTTAATTATTTACATAAACGTCCCTATGAAATGAAAGCATGGGGACGATTTTGTAAAGATCAAGGGGTGAAACCTAAAAAATTTCAACCCGACATTCCGAACCGGTGGAACTCAACATTTAAAATGTTGAGTGACACGGTTCCGTGTATGACACAATTGCAGAATTTTTTTAACCATTTAAACCGTAAGGACTGTGATGTCCGAGTGTCAACAAGAGATTGGGAGAACTGTAATGCACTTATTCAATTTTTAGAAACATTTCAAAATGCTACTAACATGCTTTCAGGTGTTTATTATCCTACTGCTCAGCTTGTGTTAAGTCTTTCAAGGATCTTTACGACTTGAATTTTAATAAATATGGCTATTTAGTTGAAGAAATGGTTAAAATATTATTATTTCATTCCTGATACACATTTAGTTGCATGTATGTTAGATCTTTCGGTACGTGAAGCTCGCTTGGTAGAGCTTAACATGTACTATAATTATATGTATGAACTCCCAATCTCGAGTGATGTCCCGACATACAGTAAAAAACCTAACGTATTGTTGCTCGTCGAGCAAGCAAAAAATTTGTTTTATGACATGTTTAGGGAAACAGCGATCACACAAGTTGAACCTCCCAGCACATTTGTTCATGGTGGCGGGGGCAGCAGCAGCGGGTCTTCTTCTTACGGTGGTAGTCAAGTAGGCGCTTCGAACTATAAGGAGTGGTGGGCATCATTAAATCCCTACAAGAATGCTGGCGTTGAAAGGGCAAAGGGAACTGGATACTATGAGCTTGATCACTACCTAACGTCAAATTTGATACTTATGATTTGTCGTGAACCAAGTCCGCCACTCAATTTCGATGTCTTGGACTGGTGGTCGAGAATGCAAGGCATATATCCTATTCTCTGCTTGATGGCCAAAGAGATTTTCACCGTCCCAGCATCTACAGTTGCGGTCGAACAAGCCTTCAGCGAGGGAGGTTATATGCTCGACGCACGACGATCGAGGCTGACGCCCAAAAATTTACAAGCACAAATGCTGCTGATGGATTGAAAAAAGGCCGAACGAAGGATGCAAACGGCTATGTACGTAGATGAAGAAGCAGACGACGACGATGACGCATCCAATTTTACGAGTACGACGAGTGGTGGAACCGGAACAGGAGATTACGAGTATGACTATTAGAGACAACCACTCGAGTACAGGTAAGTAAATCGAAAGAACTACGTGGACTTTGATTCCCAATATAAGGGATACGTAGGCAACTGAATTAACATTTATAAGTTAAAATATTATTTTTTTTCCAAAACAAAAAAAAAAGTTCAAGTTATATGATATTTTAACTTAATAAATTTCAATTAAGCTCAAGTCCAATATTTTTATTTTTTATTTTTTTTATATCAACTTTAAAATATCTAAACATAACAAGAATTAATTTTCCTGTAGAAAACATTGTTCAGAAATTGAGGCAATAATATCAATTATTCCAATTATGCCTCGACCACAGTCTCCATTGCTGTATTGTAGCCGTATGAGAGAGTGCGACGCAGGTTCTACAAGAGAGACTGTGGCCGTGGCAATATTGGCGTAATTGATGTTATTGCTTTGATCATTATTTGGTCAACTTTTGGAATTTTTTGAGCTGTAAGTAAATTAAAAAAAAAAGTACTTGGACTTTTTTACAAGTTAAAATATCAATTAAAATAAGTTAAATTACATCAATAGAAGGATGCTCTATAATGGAGACAATCGCAGTATCTTAACTTAACAAGAATTAATTTGCCTCTAGAAAACATTGTTCAGAAATTCAGGCAATAATATCAGTTATTCCAATTTTGCCCCGCCCACAATCTCCATTGTTGTATTGTAGATGTATTAGAGAGTGCGATGCCAATTCCACAACGGAGATTGTGTGAGTGGCATCATTGGCGTAATTGATGTTATTGCTTTGATCGCTATTTGGTCAATTTTTGGAATTTCTTGAGCTGTAAGTAAATTAACAAAAAGTACTTGGACTTTTTGACACACACTAATACGTAGGCACCTTAATCCTTAAGTTAACATATCAATTAAAATAAGTTAAATTACATCAGTAGAAGGATGTTCTATAACGAAGACAATTGCAATGGGAATCGTTACAGGGTTCTTAACGTTTAACAATCTTCCGACACTGCAATGAAGTTGCAGTCTTTTTCACACACCACTAAAAATATTGGATTATTGTATCAAATTATTGATACAATAATCCAATAGTTTAGTGTGTGTGGAAAAGACTGTAGCTTTCTTGTAGTGTTGGATGATTGTTGAACATTTAAGAACCCCGTAACCGATGCCAACGGCAATTGTTTCCGTTATAAAACATCTTTCACAAATTTAAACAATAACATCAATTACATCGATTATGCCACGTCTACATTCTCCCATTGTGGATCCTGCTTCTCACTCTCGTATACGTCTACAATATAGCAGTTAGAGTTCTATGACACAGGCCGACATACAAATTGTTCAATACTTGAAGTTTGTTGAAGTTTGTTGAAGTTTGTTTGTGTATACTATCTCTATATTGTTGTATTGTAGGCGTATGAGAGAGTCAGAAACAGCATTCACAATGAGAGAATGTGTGCGTGGCATAATCAGTTTAATTGATGTTATTGCTTTCAACTCTAATTGGTAAACTTTTCGAATTTCTTAGAACTGAAATCCACAATGAATCACGACCTTAAAAAATGAATGCCTAATATTGAAACTTAAAAAAACTACGTGGACTTTGATTCCCAATATAAGGGGTACGTAGGCACCTTAATTGAAATATGATATACTATACTTATTAAATATCAATTAAGCTCTAGTCCATTTTTTTTTATCAACTTTAAAATATCCTAACGTAACAAGAATTAATTTTCCTTTACAAAACATTGTTCAGAAATTCAAGCAATAATATCAATTACTCCAATTATTCCACGCCCATAGTCTCCATTGCTGTATTGTAGCCGTATGAGAGAGTGCGACGCCTGTTCTACAAGGGAGATTATGTGCGTGGCATTATTGGCGTAATTAATGTTATTGCTTTGATCATTATTTGGTCAACTTTTAGAATTTCTTGAGCTGTAAGTAAATTAAAAAAATTACTTGGACTTTCATTTCTAATTTAGCAAATACGTAGGCACCCTAAGTTAAAATATCAATTAAAATAAGTTAAATTACATCACCAGAAGAATGTTTTATAACGGATACAATCGCAGTTAGCATCGTTTACGGGGTTCTTAACGTTTAACAATCTTCCAACACTGCAAGGAAGCTGCAGTCTTTTTCAAACACCACTAAAAATATTGGATTATTGTATCGGATTAAAGTGAAGTGTTGTTGACCGAATGTAAGCTTCCCGATATATTGTTCTGCATTCACATCACTTTAAATTGAGTTCATCGTCCCCGAGGATAACTAAGTGTGTGTCATATTACTCTACTTTATGCTATAACAAGTTTATTAGAGAGTTGAAAACGTAATATATAAAGAAGACCGTGGGCGTG